ATCTATGATTAGCCTATTGTTGATAGAAATCTTACCAATAAAGAGTTGATTAACACATATTTTGGATATTAACACATATTTTGTATGTGTGTTATATATTACACATTTTTGCAATAAAGTAAGCTAGAGAAAATAAAATGTAATTAAGAAAATACATTTAAGATACTGCATGTACTTATTGAAAAAAAGCCTGTGTATAAGTGGACCTGCACAATTCAAACCCAAGTCATGCAAGGGCATATGTGTAATTTAAAAAATATTGTTGGTAGCATGCTGTAAGCACAATGGTATTATGCATTTCACACATAAAGAGTTTTCCATATGAGTGCTGGTGCTTCATAACTGCACATTCTAGAGACTGTATAATAACCATCAAGGGGATATTTGATAATTTTCATAACCTATTCTCCTATTATTAGAAATTTGATTTTCTGTACTTTTTATTATCATAAATAATGGTATTGTGAACATCTCTGTGAAGACTTTTTCTATTTTAGATTATTTCTTGAGGCTAGAGTTAAAGGTTATCAATTAGTTATTAAAATAGCATTTATTTTTCTGATTGAAAATGTATCACATTTTTATTATAAAAAATTGGAAAATGAAGAAAATCTCAAAACCAAGTAAATATCATTTGTAGTTACCCTAGTTAGAGATAACTACTGTTAAGGTTTGGTCTCATATTCTGCCCATTTATCCACTTATTAATTTTTAAATGGGACCATACTCTATATCATATTATTCAAAGCTTAGTATCTCATGAATCCTTCCTCATTTAGTTAAATATCTTCCCTAATAATTTCTAATGGTTTTCACATCCCTCTGTATCTAGTAACCATAACTTAGTTAAAGATTCCTGTAATGATGTATAGTTAGGTTATTTTTGGGTTTTGCTATCTTTAATATGAAATGACTAATATTTTTATAGATGAATCTTTATACAAATTCCTGATCATTTCCTTATATTTAATACATATTTTTTTGCCTTCCGGGAAGGGTGTACTCATATATACACCTATTAGTTGTATTTCAGTTTCTGTTTGGTTATCAATCTTAGCGTATGGTTATTAACAATGAATTAATAACCTTTACTAATTTGATAAGTGAAAAAACTATTTCTAATGTGTATTTCCTTGAAGTCTAGTGCAGATTTCATATGTTTATTGGCTATCTGGATAGCTTCTCTTTTTTAAAAGATTTTATCTATTTACTTTTAGATAGAAGGGAAGGGAGGGAGAAAAACAGCAATGTGCAAGAGATACATCGATCAGTTGCCTCTCCTATGCATCCAACTGGTGGTCTGTCCCACAACCCAGGCATGTGCCCTGACTAGGAATCGAACTGGCGACCCTTCGGCTCACAGGCTAACATTCAATCCCATTGAGCTGCGCCAACCAGGACTGCATAGCTTCTTTTGTGAATTCATTATTTATGACCTTTGTCATTTTTTGGTCCCTGATATATGTTGCGAAGTTGCTTGCCAAAAGAGATGTTTAGTTTATGTTCTGGTATATTTTTTCTTTCTTTATGAATTGTCTCATGTATCTTGCTCATTTAAGGGAATTCTTTTTTTAGATAGGGATATTCAGAATGAAAATATCTGAAAATGTTGAGGGAGAGGAAAGAGGAGAATTTTAGATTGTGGAAGAGGTGTGAATTGATGTTGAAGAAAATTGAGCCTCAAAGGAAGAATGTTTTGGGAGATGGGGTATTTTGGCTCCAGGAAAAATTATGTGATAACTGTTTTATTTCTTTTCTATGTAATTGTTAAGCTTTGAGAGCATCACCCTTTAATTACAGTTCTTTTAAAAAAACAGAAATCACTGAAATTGTGTTTTTTTTCTTGATTGATATCTTTAAGACTAGATAGAAAATAAAGGGAAAAAAATAAACCAACAAAAAGTTTTGGTCATCAAAAGGACCAGGTTGGCAAAGCAGCACCTGGCAGACTGGGCAGTCCCACATTTGCGTGTGGATAAACTGGAGGAACAGCTGGGGAGTGAAACAGACCATGCAATCCAGGGTTCCAGTGCAGGAAAAGAAAACCTCAAAACCTCTAGAGGTAAAAACCTGTGGATATTGCAGTAGCAGGAGAAACCCCTAGCCTCACAAGAGAGTCTGTTGGAGAGACCCACGGGGTTCTAGAATGTACACAAAACCACCCACCTAAGCATCAGCACCAGGAGGGCCCAATTTGCTTGTGGGTAGTGGGGGAAGGGACTGAAAGCTAGTGGAGAGCTGAGCAAGCAGCATTGTTTTCTCTTGGACCCCTCCCTCACAGAATGCATCACAACTCAGAGACCTGGGTTGCCTCACCCTGGTGAATACCTAAGGCTCTGTCCCTTCCAACGTAACAGGCATGCTGAGATAAAGAAATAAGGCCCAAATGAAAGAACAGGTCAAAGCTCCAAAAATAAGACTGAGCGATGAACAGATAGTCAACCTATCAGATGCACAGTTTGAAACACTGGTAATCTGGATGCTCCCTGAATTGGTTGAATATGGTTGCAAAATGGAGAAAAAAGCAAAGGCTATGCAAAGTGAAATAAAGAAAAATATACAGGGAACCAACAGTGAAGGGAAGGAAATCAAGGCTCAAATCAATTATTTGAAGCAGAAGGAAGAGATAAACATTCAACCAGAACATAAGAAGAAACAAGAATTCAAAAAAAAAATGAGGAGAAGCTTTGGAACATCTGGGACAACTTTAAATGATCCAATATCTAAATCATAGGGGTGCCAGAAGGAGAAGAAGAGCAAGAAATTGAAAACTTACTTCAAAAAAATAATGAAGGAGAACTTCTCCAATCTGGGCAAGGAAATAGACTTCCAGGAGATCCAGAAAGCTCAGAGAGTCCCAAACAAGTTAGACCCAAGGGAGCACACACCAAGGCACATCATAATTAAGTTACCCAAGATGAAAGATAAGGAGAGAATCTTGAAAGCAGCAAGAGAAAAGGAGACAGTGACCTACAAAAGAGTTCCCATGAGACTGTCAGCTGATTTCTCTAAAGAAACCTTGCAGGTAAGAGAGGCTGGAAAGAAGTATTCAAAGTCATGAAAGGCAAGGACCTACATCCAAGATTATTCTATCCAGCAAAGCTATCATTTAGAATGGAAGGGCAGACAAAGTGCTTCCCAGATAAGGTCAAGTTAGAGGAGTTCATCATCACTAAGCCCTTATCATATGAAATGTTATAGGGACTTATGTAAGAAAAAGAAGATAAAAAACTATGAACAGTAAAACAGAGGGCGGGGAGGGGCAAGAATGGGGGAAAAGGTACAGGGAATAAGCAGCATAAATAGTAGGTACAAAATAGTCAGGGGGAGGTTAAGAGTAGCATAGGAAACAGAGAAGCCAAAGAACTTATATGTACAGCCCATGGACATGAACTAAGAGTTGGGGAGGGATGCTGGGGGTGGGGACAGTGGAGGGTGGAGGGTAATAAAGGGGAGAAAAAATAGGACAACTGTAATAGCATAATCATAAAATTTATATTTAAAATAGAAAGGAAAGAAAATTGCCTCTAGATTTTAATTGGGAAACCAGATAGAATAACTGTTTAGAGAAGAATTATATTTACATGGATTATACAAGTTCATGCTTATATTAAGAATTATATACTTTTTTTCCATGATGTTTGTATACAAACATCAAACAAATACTAGTAAAAACTTGAATACAAAGTAAGGAAAGAAAAAATGCCTAAATTTATTTTCTTTCTACCATACTGACTAAAATAAACACAACAACACAGGTTGACTGCAGTGACTGAAGCAGAGATTCTAGGGTCCAGGTATGTATGGAATGACCTTGTACCTCAGGGAAGTGGCTTCTCCCCATTGCCCTTCTCAGCATCAACCATTTATTTGCTCCCCCTGGAACTCACAATATGTTATGTCATTAATTTAAAAAAGTCAAAAATCAATGAGTGGTTTTGATAGAAAGATTTTATTGGGTTGGTGAAAAAGTTCGTTTAGTTTTTTTCCATATGATGCCTCTAATAGTGCTTAGTTGTCTTTAACTTCATTTGAAACAATTTTGTTAGATTGTATGGTGACAGCTCTCATATCTGTGTGCATTTACATAGAAACCCCATCAAAACTGGTGAAAAAAAGGTATTGATCATATCATTTAATTGCTAATTTTAATACAATGCCCTTAGCAAACTGTATGGGTAAACATTTTGTAGACTTAGTGGATGGTTGGTTATAAGAGCTTCTTATGGAATCAAGCATACTTTAGATTTGTATTCTGATTGCTTATTTGATCCAGAAACTATGAAACTATGAAAGGGCTGGGGAAGGAGTGGGATTTCATAAAATCTTGTCGAATGAATAAATGAATGAATGAATGAATGGCATGGACTGAATTGCAACAGGACATGAGTAAAGTATCACGAATCTAGTTTAATTGGATGCTAGATGTCATAATTACTTTAAGTTATGGTGATATCTGAGATTATTTTGAGAGATAAAATTTTGAGATATACATGAAATCTATACAGAAAATCTGAAGCATAATCATCTATGACTATGAAATAATGATATTTTACGATTATAAGATAGTATTGTGGAGTCTCATGCTTTTTATTGCCACATTATAAAAAGCCAATGAATAAGTTGAAGAAATTGACATCTATTAAACACATGAAAGGGATTTTTCCATTTTTAATGACAGGTAAATTGTGATAAATTGTACCTTGAGAAAGTCCATTTTAGCACTTGGCAGTAGCATCATATAGTAAGATGTTTGTTTCGTGTGACATTTCTTTGGAGGTAGCTCCCACTGCTGAATACTTTATTATTTGCTCTTGTAAAAATTTAGGAAGGGAATTTAAAGGTTTATTTTTCTGTGTCTGAATGTGTACATGTAAATGTTAAGGGTGATCAAGAGGAAAGAAGTTTGGGACACATTGAGATGTACTGAAGTTCCTTGGAACTTCTCCTGGGATAACAATAAGGATTCATTGCTTTGTGGTGCTCCCCTTCCTTTGTGGTCCTTATCTCTGAGGGTGGCCTTACTTATCTTCCAAAGCCTGGAGAGCTGATGTTTGCTGTGCATCAGAAGAATTCTTACCAGGCAGAAGTTCCCTGGTATACCGTTGTAAAGCTTTGCTGTTGCTGAAAAAGACAGGACAATCTGAGATCTCCTTGCTGAACTGGTCGTCACAGAGCTCTGGACCTGATACCCTGGATGTCTGAGCTTGATTTTGATGCTCCTCTTTGGGCATGTCTGTTTGCTGCAGTATCTTCTCCTGCAGGTACTTGTAAAGTGGACTGGAATACACTGTACCCGTCTCTGCAGAACAAGGCTCTTGGTTCCACTGAGTCCTCTCTTCAAGGCCTGCCTGGAGGATTGAAGAATCATGTCTCTTCTTGGCTGGATTTTGTTGGTCATCAACTTCTCTGGTCAGCTGTTGGGGGCTTTTATCCTCTTCCTCTACTGTGACAAGTTTCTCTGTTTCAAGGAGCGCTGGTGCCTCTGGGTGTCCTTTGGGCTCCACAGCTGGGCCTGGGCCTTTCGTTAGTTGCTGAATCTTGTGCCCTTCTCCTTCAGGTTGTTCCCATTCCTCAGTGAGCTGCTCATTTTCTCCTCCAACTGCCTCCCGAGTTCTGTTTTTCTCACCCAGTGCTACCTGTTTCTGGGTGTCTGGGTTATTATTGTGACTTCCTTGTACAGATTCTCTGAGTGAGTCTACTTGACTCTGGGAATCCTCTTGCAGGAACAGATCACTTGTTCCTGAGCTGCTGTCACCCTCCTGTGGAGTCAGGCTGTTGGGGGATTCAGAAGACCTTTTATCATTCTGCGTGACTGTTGGCTCAGGACTTTCCCCCTGGTCATCCTCCTCCTCCTTGACTGGCTTGTCATGAGTCTTGGTGACCTTCTTACTTTCCCCTCCAGTCTGGTTCTCAAGTGGTGACAACTCCCATATTCTTTCTGTTGCTCCTGCTGCCCCTTCTGCTGCAGAGTCATTTTTGTTGCTCACAAGTGTCTCTGCTCTCCCTTCCTCTGCATGTCTTACCTCTTCTCCTGGGGTGGCTGCTCCTTCAGTTTCAGGGTGATTCTGATCTTCTTCTGAGCTTAACTCTTGTATCTTAGAACCTTCTACAGCATCCCTTTCTTTTGATGATTCCTGGAGTTTCTGATACTTTCGATCCTGTGCTTCATCTTCCAGGGCTGGCGGCTGAGTATTCCTCTCACTTTCTCCCTGCACTACTGTTTCACGGGCCTTAGGTCCTCTCCACTCTTTCTCTTCAGTTCTAACATCAGGTATTTCTGAAACATTTCTGCTATCACCTTGGACTGGCAGGTTGTTTAATTTATATTCTTTTTTTTGTGCTGGGGGTTCTTGGGTCTCATGTGCTCTACCGTCATCCTCAGGTTCAGCTGAGTTCTTCGTCTCAGGAGGTGTCCTGTCAGCATTGTTTCCTGGTTCTTGAGTCTCAGCTGTTCTACCGTCATGCTTAGGGTCATTTGATTCCTGCATCTCAAATGGTGTCTGGGCAGCAGTTTGTTCTGGTAGGTCAATGAGCTCCAAACTCAGTTTATTTTTTCCTTGTAGTGGCTGTTCTTGTGTGTTAAAGTGTTCCTTAACACCCTTTTGTGCTGCAACTTCCTGATCTGCAGGTAGTGTCTGTGTTGTTTCTTCTGATGCAGAATTTTGGGTTCCCAAGTTCCCTTCCTGTTCTCCAATCTGATCTCTTGTCTTAGTGCCACTTTGCTCCCTGGCTGGTTTATCTTCTTCCCTGGGAATCTCTTTATCTTGTCCCTCCTCCCCCTTTGTGTGACTGCTGGTCTGTTCTGATCCTTCTGTTGGCTTATTTGTCTCAATTTGTGCCTCTTTGTCTCCTGTTGCTGGTACACCTGGGGTCACTTCCTGACTCTGTTCATCCCCTTCCAGGTGGTGGTTCTTTGGGTCATTGTGCCCAGATGCTTCACCTGGCAGTTTGTGAGTCTTGGTGTCTCCCTGTGGGTCCAGCTTGTTTTGTCCCTTTTCCTTAGTGCTGAGCTGAGCTGATGACACTATTTCTGAATGAAGCATTACTTTATCTTGAGTTGGTGGAGTTCCCTCTGTCCAGTGGCCAGCTTTGCTGGTTGCCTGGAGATCCATGTTATCTGGCTTCTCCTCTGGTTTAGATACTTGTCTTGGTTCTGGATTTAGTAATGATTTGATATCAAGATAATGGAGGTTCAACAAGTTGAAGATTGTAAGAACAAATTCATTAAAACTGATGGTGCCATCACTGTCAATAGCCAGAAGATTCAAGTTTCTCTCCACAGCATGAGTGGCACATGGCTGCATGAAAACACAGTGAGAAATCAGCCTGTATACAAGGGGTCAAGTATCTTGAACGTCTCCCAGGAATACTCATTTTTTAACCCTATTCCGCAGGCATTGGCAAAATTTCCCCAAACAGTAGGAATTTTTTCTGAATGCCATTTTTTTTCATGAGAGAGCAACAGGTAAGACGGAGCATTTATATCACTTATGAGTTGGATTTAGATGCATAATGGCTCACGACTCCTCTCAAAGGCCTATTTTGCTGAAGCAGTAGTCCCAGTAAGGAAAACTTCACTTGTCTCCATAGGATTGGCTAAGCAATTGCACAGACTAGGGAGCTGAGACTGAAAAAAAGTTGTTCAAAAGTGCTGAGAACTGAGAGCCAAATGTAAGATGGACAGGGATCACTTATGCCCGTCCTGCTTGAATTATGGAGAAAGGGCAAGTGGAGAAGGATATGCATAGCTCTGTGAGCATCTCACCTGAAGAATGTCCCCAAACTGGTCCTGGATGAGCCGTTTCAGCTCTCTGCAGGTCAAGATCACCTCATCACCATCCTCCCTGGCATACTTGTGGAATGTCTCAATTACATAGAGGACATCTCTCAGGAGTCGAGGCATCTTGACAAACTCAGGAAGCTGTGAGAAAGGATACACAAAGCTCATTTCCCAGAATGGGACCTTCAAGAAAGAGATAACAAGATTGTCCTTCTTTCTGACTTTCTCCCAGTTTCATTGGCATCATTTACTCTATTCTGTATCTTAAAATATTGTATTTGAACTTTAGGGGTGATTTAGTTTTGCACCAGATAATGTGGCAAGATCAGATCTAGCACAGGTAAGTATTAGAAGAGACATTTCACATTATCCTTTGGAAAATAAGGACACTCATATGTTCAGACAAAGCTTTATTGCAAAAGAAGGGTGGAAAATGAACTCAAATATAAGTACTGAAATGCACAAATAAAGTCTACAGATTGGGACCAATCCTTCCAGTTTCATCTGACAGTGCCCACCTGTTTTCCTCCCACCTTGGCTCAGTCTAACTCCTCTACCCGGAAAAGTGTAACTTGAAGTTAGGAAAGTTTGTAGAGGAAAGAAAAGTAAGGCCAAGGAAATCATCTGCTATGCATGCAGGCTGAAGCAACTTTTTTCCCCTCAAGAAGACGTGGCTCAGTGAACTTACTGGTAAAATGAATAAATAGAGTCCTGACCCCTCAGTCAATACCTATCATTTAAATAACTCTGTATCTTTATATACGCCTGAGTTATGTATCTTGGTAAATAGTCTTCATTCCTATGTTGTACAGTTTATATATATTTAAAAATGATTCATATTGCTTGGTAAAAAGAAAATAAAAGAAAAAAAGAAAGAAAGAAAGGGGGGGGAGAGAGAGAGTGTGAGAGAGAGAGAGAGAGAGAGAGAGAGAGAAAATGATCAAAAAAGTTCTGGAAGCAAAGGATGATGCATTCAGGTGGCTGGAGCTCTCTGTTTAGTATCATTGTAGAAGAACAAGAACAAAAAAACCCCTCTCAGGCCCTCTTTACCAGCACTTGCTATCTCTCTTTCTTTAAGTCCATCAGTCATAAATAACTGTTGTTTCTCTGAACCTCTATTCTCAGGACTGGGAAGATTACTAAAAGCATCCTCCCACGCAGGTATTTTAAAACTTATACAAACAGGACACACCAGACCAGAGCACCTGGATCCTGAACCCAAAGGTAACAGGGAAAGATACTGAAGTCTGCATCATCAGCCTGAAACCTCCTGATTTACAACTAATTGCCATGACTACCCCGCAACCACCCCCTCCCCCTTTTCGATCCAATAAAAAAAACCACAGCCCCTACCCCTCAGGGGTGGTGCATTTCTCCTCACATAGCCCTTTCCCTCTCTTGGGAAAGTAAAAATAAAACTTTGCTCTCTGCATTTTCTTCTCTTTGTGAATTCTTTCATAGCCTGAGTCACCAGCCACCCTAACAGCCAGTAGTGGTTTACTTCAAGTGTTTCTTCTGAAAACCTTATAGAATCTCACAGAGAAGCAAAGCAGCTGCCCAGATCCTAAGTATGCTCAAGCATATATTCATTGAGACTTACCTTGTTCATGAAAGAGAGCAAGTGTGATGCGGGGCATGGTGAGCTGATGGCAGGTGCTGAAACCTTTTATTGAGTCTTTAATTGCAGTTTGGAAGGAGACACCCTCTGGGTCTAAAGCCCTGATTCATCACCACCAGACCCAGCCTCCCCTCCTTCTCTACTGCCAGTTTGTCTTTTATTTCCTTCTTTAGGCAGCTTCAGTTAAGTCTTGGCTTCAGACTCATCCAAAGGAAGGAGAAGAGGTATTTGGTTCATTTACTGACTTTTGCAGGTGATAGTTTTGAGGAATCTTTGGGGTGGTGTTGGTTTTGTTTTGTTTTTTTTTTAACCTAAGGATACAATCACATTTCTGTTTGACAAATCATAGGGCTGGCAGGAATCTCAGAAGTCATCTGATTCCTCTCTCTATTCACAGGATGGACTGTATTTGACCCAGCCCAAATGGATGAGTGTCAATCACGTGTTTAAAAATAGAGGCCCCATTTAGCCATGTGACAAAAGTGGAGATACCAGTTGATTCAGGTGTTTCAGTGCTCTGTTTTTGCCTAGAGGCAGAGTTAGGAAAAAGAATCTCTTGCTGGGTGTAAAGAACTTTGCTTACCTAAGATGTGCTATTTTAAAAATGTGATCGACTTTGCCCTAAAGTCACTTTGATAATCCAAGGAGTTTAAAATGAGCATCTATATGGCTGTGTTCTTTCTGTAAAGGGGAAAGGGAGACAGAAACCACCAAGCTGAGGACAGGCAGGAATGAGGCAAAGATGCTAACTAGCAAATGTGTTTGTTTCCTCGTAGATCTGTGTCCCTCTTAGTAGAGAATATTTAATTAACAGGAGAATTAGAATCACTTTTTTTTTGATATTTAAAAAGAGAATAGAGTATGTTTTAAAATATTCTTGTCAGCTTGTAAAAGGGTGTAAGAAATAGATCCGTGAAAACGAGTGTAAAAGACAAAGACCAAGATAATGGGAGGGTGGGGATGAGAGTAATTATATGAGAATACAGAGACTAAAGAAATCATTGACATTGATTAGAACCTTGTTTAATCTTACTGATTATCAAGGCAAGTACAAGGAAACTGAATGTTGGGGGTGGGGGAATCCACATTGATAGTTTCCGCCCGTAAAAGATTTTTTCAGCATTCCTCTAAAAGGAGGACTTCTCCTGAGAATTGAAATTGGCATGAGAAGGTCATTTTAATTCTCATCAATCAACATCCCCTAAGTTCCAACTGTTTATCAGACACTCTACTAGGCACTGGGGTGGTTAAAGTTGAATAAGTTATGTCTCCCTGCCCTGGCACTTGCGGGCCAGTCTTTTGAGAAGTGATTGAAGGAAACTGAGTATGTTCAAGGCTGACTTGAAAAGAAAGACTTAAAGAAGACATAATAGTTGTTTTCAAATATTTGATGGGTTTTCAGGACGATGAGAAATGGGATAGGAATAGAAAGGAACAAATGTTCACTCAACACTTACAGCATGTCAGAAGCTTACATGGGCCCTGGCTGGTGTGGCTCAGTGGATTAAGCACCGGCCTGTGAACTAAAGGGTCACCAGTTTGATTCCCAGTCAGGGCACATGCCTGCTTTGGAGGTCAGGTCCTTGGTAGGGGTTGTGTAAGAGGCAACCACACATTGATGTTTCCCTCCCTTTCTTTCTCCCTTCCCTCCCTTCTCTGTAAAAATAAATAAATAACATCTTAAAAAAAAAAAGAATGACATTAAAAAAAAGCTTACATGGGCTTTCTTATTTAATCCCCAAAGTCCCTTTTAGGTAGTTATCCTCTTTCAAAAGATAAGGAAGACTTACGTATCCAGTAAATGGCAAAGCCAGGACTCAGAGTTGAAATGTCTCAAGAATATATATCTCTGAGCCCATGGCTTCTCCATTACCTTGTGTTCCTCATTCAGTGAAATGTCAGAGGACAGAGCTAGAATTAATGGTTGAAATTTTCCAAAAGGCAAACTTTAGTTCTGACAATGGTATAGTTTGCTTCTACAGTAATGAGAAGCAAACTCATACTGTGTCAGTAGTGACACAGGGGTGTCACTAGCACTATTCAAAAAGAGGTTGACTCATAATCTATTGGCTAGGTTATAACAGGAGTCCTGACACAGGATAAGGTTGAAGTGGCTTACAGTAAAAGGCACAGAACTCTTCTGACTCTAAATGTCTATGGTTTTAGGTTATAGTTTCTATTTATAAAGTCAAGGTTGAATCTTGCCTTGTCTTTGAACAATGTGAGGCAGGTTCCTTACCCTTTTATAGGCATTCCTATTTTTTTCAGTGATTACTCAAGACTGTTTAACACCCATACTTATGAGTGGGCAATGACTCAAAGAGATGGTGGGAGAAGGAAGGAGATGGCTCTCATCTAGTGTTTAAAAAATTATTTAGGCTGCTGTACAATAAATCACCAATAACTCTACCATTACAAAGGCAAGACCCTGAGTGCCCTTTCTTCTTCCAAAAATACCTCTCTAATGGTCCCTTTGTGATGTCCTCTCCCTCTGATTTCATATAGGGATAGTGAAGACAAAGACCAGAGAAGAGAAGTTGGCTTATATGGAACTATGTTTAAGAGCCTCTTTTTCTTCAGGGTTAGCTGAAGTCTTGATTGAAGGCTCCAAATAAAACCCATATTATGGTTACTTTGGAAAAGGTGGCTAATAAAACAATTTTTAATGATTTTTTATAATAACAGAAAATTTGATATGCAAAAAGTCTTCTTTTATAGTCATGATTTCATTACTTTTTTTACTTATCATAAAAGTAGTAGGAGTTTACTTGGGATGATGATGGACCGAGCAACTCTACATTCTTAATGTCCCTCCTGAAATCCCCTAAAATAAAAATATACAAAAAAAAATGCATTAGAATTATGAGAAGACCCAGAGGAGAATCACAACTGAGTTTCTATAAATTTATCAAAGTTGATATCCAAAGCAATCTATAGAGTCAATACAATTCCTATTAAAATGCACATGGCACATTTCCCAGATCTAGAACAACTATTCCAAAAATTTACATGGAACCAAAAAAGACCCCAAATAGTCTCAGCTATCTTGAGAAAGAAGAACAAAGTTGGAGGGGTAACAATACCTGATATCAAACCATGCAAGGTCACTGTAATCAAAACAACCTGGTACTGGTATAAAAACAGTCATATACATCAGTGGAACAGAACAGAGAGCCCAGAATTAAACTCACACCTTTGTGGTCAATTACTATTTGACAAAGGAGGCAAGAGCATGCAATGGAGTAGACAGTCTCTTCAATAAATGGGGTTGGGAAAACTGGACAGGTACATGCAAAAAAAATGAAACTAGATTACCAACTTATACCATACATCAGAAAAAACTCAATATGTATAAAAGACTTAAACATAAGCCTCAATGCAATAAAAGTCCTAGAGGAAAATATAGGCAGTAAAATGTCAGATATCCTACACAGCAATATTTTTGCCAATACATCCTCTAAGGCAAGGGAAATAGAGGAAAGAATAAACATATGGGACTACATCA